CAGATAGCCCTTGTGTAGCTTTGCGCGAAAATTCAAAAAACAAACAAACATCTTAACAAAATTGCATGAAACATAGAACAAGTGTACTAAATTTTACACAGTTTGGGCTTTACAAAATTCACGTAATTTTAATTCGTTTTATATATAATTTTTAGATTGCGAAATTTCAAAATAATTTTCCGAGACACTCTTTTACGAAAATAAAAAAAAAGGAATAATTCGTTTCGTTTTTTTCTACTGTTGATCAGACCCCTGTTTCGAGAGTATGTTTTTTGTTGTTCTTTATAGTAAACGTCGTCTGCTCTAAAAATTCCAATGTTCACAGTATTACAATCTTAATCCAGTACGGCAGTTCTATACTTTTAGAACCCATCTATTTGAACCATTAAAAGCACAAAACGTTTTAACACGAGTTATGTGCAAAATACTCAGTTCTCATTTTTGTTACATGCAAATCTGATTTCTGTGGACGAAATCGTGTTAACACACTGTTTGCAGGTACGTAAGTTACAAGAAGTACTTCAGGCGTTTTGTCTCCACAACCCAAGTGTGGGCTACTGTCAAGGAATGAACTTTCTCGTCGGAATGTGTTTACTTTTTCTGGAACCAGAGGACGCTTTCTGGTAAGGAATTTTCAAGATTTTCATAGATGTGTTAACCAATGGCAAAGAATATTTCTGTGGCAAAGAATTAGTGTTGGATTTAAGTTGTGTCTCCTAATAATTTCAATTTCGACACCTGTAACTCATTAGACATTTCAGGCGAACTTTTCATAAAATAATGTTTTTAATAACTTTTTATTTCTAATTTTAAAATCTTTTTTTTTCTTTTTACAAAAAAGAGGATCACTATATTTATCTTTTCGCCTTTATGTAAAATTTTAAATTGATATGTATATTAGCAAGATGTTACATTACTTTGTAGTTTCAACCGTAAGTGTAACCGAGCGAACAAATATGGTTATTACTTTAGTATTATATAAAACAAACAGATGGTAGCAGCGCCGCCTAGATTTGGTTTCATGAAAAGAAAAACCGTTTAAATTGTAATATATGGAAATGTTTTTATTTATTTTGTACTACGTTTCCAGTTAATACTTTCATTTCATTCCTGTATTTCCCGACATGTAATATTTTTTATAATCAATATATAGTTAACAAAGATGAAATTAAATTACTTTCAAAACTTAATTATGCATTAAAATTTAATCAAAAGTTCTCTGTAAAACTGTTATCTGTGTTAAGAAATGAATAACTTACTCAAACTTCCCACTTTTTAGTCGCGGCATAGCGGCTCATAAAACGGTTTTTTATCAAGTTAACTTACTCGAACTTTCTACTTTTTAGCCGCGGCATTGCGGCTCATAAAACGGCTTTTTTTTCAAGTTAACTTACTCAAACTTCCTACTATTTAGCCGCGGCATAGCGGCTCATAAAACGGCTCTGAGTTTGTTTTTCAAGTTAACTTACTCAAACTTCCTACTTTTTAGCCGCGGCATAGCGGCTCATAAAACGGCTCTGAGTTTGTTTGTTTTTTCAAGTTAACTTACTCAAACTTCCTACTTTTCTTTGTATGTCAAAACTTTACTATTATTTCCCACAAGAGTACTTATCAACGTTGTTTCCATGAATAATCCTATCTTGCAAATCTTGATCTTTTCAGCATGAGTAATTTAAAAACAAACAACAACAAACAAATAATACTTTAACCTAATGTTCCCCCGAAAAGTGTACGTGATAACGACGTTTAACTATATGAATTTTCTACAATATTCAATTATTCTATCAGACTGGAAATGTTTAAAAATCTTATAATAGAACATTAATTTTTTTTAAAATCACAACCAAGTCTATAATGAAAAATTTAACACACACAATACCTTAGTAAAAACCATTCGTCTTGCGGATTAATGGTTAGTTTGATGGCTTTTATTCCCCTTTCTTTTCTCTACATATAACTTAGTGTACTGTATTGGTTATAAGAACAGGCAACATTACTTGATAGATAACTTAGTGTACTGTATTGGTTATAATAACAGGCAACATTACTTGACAAATAACTTAGTTCCAGCCAATGAAGCGAAGTATAAGATTTTTGAAATTACAAAAAATGAGTAGTTACAATTTATCTTTAGAAAATCCTGGGTTTTCCAGATGACACCAGGAAGTATCTTTCTGTAGATAATCATTCGAACATTTTTTAGTATTATTCTAATTTTTTTTCATTTTTCACCAAATAGGTGTTTAGTGGCAGTAACTGAGAAACATTTCACACCAAACTATTTTGACCAAAATCTGATTGGTGCTCAAGCAGACCAAGAAGTACTCAAAGATCTATTGAAGGACAAGCTGCCAAATCTACACCGCCATTTAGCGTCGAATGATATTGAGATCTCCACCATTACGTTAAATTGGTTCCTGGCGGTTTTCTTTGACGCAGTTCCATTTGAGGTATGAAGTTCTGGGAAGCCATTTTGTGTCACACTTGAATTATTCTCGAGATAAATGTTTTTTACAAAGTAGTCAATAATGCGCTTAAGTTTTGTGATAACGACAAGAAAGGGTGTGTAAAGAAATTGTGAAAAATTAAATACTTTGTTTCTTATTTACCTAATTGACCCGGGCATGGCATAATGATTAGAGTGTCAGGATGCGGATCGAAGGGTTTGAGGTTCGAGACGTGATGCTGCTGGACATGCTTTGTACTTTCAGCTCTGGGCGCGATATAAAAGTTACGCACAATTCCGTTATTCGCTTCAAACAAACCACACACATATATATATATATATATATATTGTTTGTAGCTGTTTTCTCTCTGGTCAGTAGTTTAAGATTAGGGATGGTTATGATAAATCCCAAGTATTTCTGACCTGGATGTTTAACCTATTTGAGAAATAATATGTCGTTCAGGTTTAAAATTCCCCGTTTTTAGGTTACGTTATTAATTCCTGGAAATTATGGAATTTACTCAAGCAGATATTCGGGATTCGAAGTTAATTTGTAACACATTCATTATATTTAAAAAAGAAGATGATATTAATTAACCAATACCTTTATAAAATAGGGGTCTAGGAAATCCTGAAAATTAATTCCATTCAAGATTATATTAGTTTGCAGCTTTTTTCCACGATGCTCCCCCCTCCCCCAGCGGTATGTCTTCGGACTTAGAACGCTAGATACTAGGTTTCGATACCTCTGGTGGGTAGGGAACAGATAGCCCGTTGTGTAGCTTTGTGTTTAATTACAAACAAATAAGTTCGTCCACGATATAAAGTTTAAAATTGAAAAATAATTCAACAGGACAAAAAAGCATCAACTTGCTATAGGAGGGAAAATTAAAACAAAAACATTTCTATATAGTTTGTGGTGTTTAGAAATAATGGGGATCATATTATAAAAATAAGTTTCTTTTAAGAATAAAGGATGCCAAAAACTGTGAAAGAAATATTGAATTATATTTATTTATTTTTATGTCGTGACATTACCTTAAACTTTTTTGTATAAATTTGTAGCATGTTTAATTATCTCTATCGTTCCGTATGCGTTTGATTTGTTTGTTTGGAATTAAGCACAAAGCTACACAATGGGCTATCTGTGCTCTGCCCACCACGGGTATCGAAACCCGGTTTCTAACGTTGTAAGTCCGCAGACATGCCGCTATTCCACTGGGGGGCCCTTATGCGTTTGAAGCAGTGACTTAGTGAGGTGTCTGGGGCCCTGGGACAAGACGTATTGTTTTTACCCTCCCCCTAAAAAAAAACAAAAAACAACTACACCCATCCTTTACTTTCTAACTGATTCAGTTATTTCTTTATTCTTTAAGAACTTATATCATTAGCTAATTAAGATCTCCGGTTTGTATAACATTACGGTGCATATTATACTCTACATCAATATAAAACCACACCACAACTCTACTGATTGGCATTATTATAGGACGAATACATCCGATATAGAATTATTAGGGCCGCCAAAATTCCGCCAGCAGCTTGAAAAATACGGCTTCGGGTGTTCACAAAATTTCCTATTAGTTACGAGATGTCGATGTATTTTAAATCTAACACTGAAAACCACGGGATTTTCCCGTGTCATGATATTTCTGATGATATACTAATATTGGATGTCAAGCATAACAAAAGCATTTTAATGAACCTTACTCATATGGTAACAGCTAAATTCTGGGTAAACTGTTATTAATTTGCCCCCCCCCCCGGCGTCCGGGGACAAATGCCCCGCACCTCCCTCACTACAATATTACCCAACAGCTACTTTATTTCTAAAAGTTTCCAATAGGTGGCAGGCATTTCCATTTGGAAGGTCTCAAATGTGATGATTAAAAGTTTTGTACAATATTTACTTATGTTTTTACAATCCAGTGTGTTGTTTAAAATGTTACAATGAGTAACCATTAAGTTTTAAAAGTTTGCACCATTTTGACAATAGAGGGCGCTATAGTGTTCTCAGTTATTTTTTTTTCCTTTTAGTATAATAAAACATTACTCGTTCATTTATTTATTTATTATTTTGGTGTAGCTATTCATAATCTCGCTTGTGTACTAAAGAACTGTATAAAATAGAAAATCTGGTTCCGTGATGAATAAATTTTTTTTGGTAATAATGGATAAATATTTTCACCGAATGGCGTAATTATTAAAAAACGGGACTTGAAGAATAATTCCATTCCAAAAAAGTGGGCCTGGCATGGTCAGGTGGTTAGGGCGGTCGACTCTCAATCTTCGGGTCGCGGGTTCGAATTTCCGTCAGCGAACATGCTCGCTGTGGGAGTGTTATAATATTACGGTCAATCCTACTATTCGTTAGTAAAAAAGTAACCCAAATCAGGGACGACTAGCGCAGATAGATGGCACTCGAGTAGCTTCGCGCGAAATCCAAAACAAACCCAGTGAATAGTACGAGAACAATATTATTTTGAGCATGTATTGTAATATGGTACAGGGTAGCTCAAAACTAGCCATACAGTACAGAACGACGATTTCTTGAATTCTTTATTATAATAAAAAATAATAATTTTATTTTTTTAACTACAGAATAGCTTAACGTTTCTCCATTGTGGCTTCATCAGGACTAATAGTGAAGCTTCAATAGCGAAACGTTGGCTGAAATAATAAATTTTTAATCATTATCTGGAAAGTGGTAAGTTTTTTTTTTTTCTAACTTTATTATCAAACTGTCTAAATCTCTCCAACATGCGTTACAAATTCTGCAAAACAACAAAATAGCATAACCTTTGACCTTTTTATGAAATACATTCTTTTAATCTTTATTTTTTTGTTAGATTCCACAATAATGGATGAAATATACCTTTGACATATTTATTACACCATACATTTTTGGAAAGATGTCAGCTCATTTGTGCTATTTCCATTATCTTATTATTTTTTCTACTATAAATATCTAAATGTTGTTGTTGTACATAATCTTTTATGAGTTCAAGTTGAAAGTGTACGTACACGCACAAGACGCTATAGAGTATCGGCCTTTCATAATGTTAAGCCTAATTTATATGGAGCTCAAATTGAAAATATATGTACACGCACAATACATCTAAGACGCTGTAGAACATCGGGCTTTCATAATGTTAAGCCTAATTTAAACCGAGTACAAGTTCAAAGTATAAGTACATGCACAATACGTCTAAGACACTCTAGGTACACGCAGAATACACCTAAGGCAATAGAGATTATCAGGCCTAATGTTACAAAAAAAACCATAAAACATATTTACACCTTTTGTACAACATTTCATGAAACAATAAACAGCGCATGACTCGTTTAATAATTCATACATACAAAGTTAATTACTTCTTAAAGTAAAAACCTGTATACTAAAAAAAAATAATTATGAACAAAGTACTTCAAGACGAAACTAATAATCAATTTCTATCGAGCAGAGATAGATTAAAGTGAAGGAAAAGAGAAATAGCTGTTAAAGGCTGAAAACGTTCACAACTTTGATCAATCAAAGTCGAAGTCATAGAGTGCCTCGCGCCAGAGAGCGGGAAATCCTTCCGAATTTGGTACTACAGTTATTTTATAGAATATATAAGGAACTGCACCATCATTTATGTACATAATTATACAGTTTCTATGTACACTCATTATATCTCCATGATTTCGAAGCACTTTTTAAAACTTGAAACACGCATAAAATATTTTTTGGCAAAACATCTGTTGATCTGTCTTACATAAGAACAAATATGGTTTAAAACAAGCTTACGAAAAAGAGAACTACTTATAACGGTGTCTCTTTTTTAAGAGTTAGTCTTAACTGACGTATGTCTAGAGTGACCACTCAATACGGACCAAATGTGTACCTATGAAACTCGAGTCTTTCGTGTATCACTAAACGGTCATTCATTTTCTACAGTTCACGTAGTCTCGAGGGCCTCAGTTTCATCTCAACTTTGGTCAGTTGCACCCACTCGTGTTGGTCCATGTTGTACCACGTGAGTCCAATGTTGTATCTGCCATTGATGTTGACGTATTGGCAGTGGTTGTACCACCATCCGCTCGAATAGTACACTGCGCAGTGTGTGCTGCTCGCATCATTATCCCGATCATTCGTACTAAAGGCCATCCTGTTGTGATTCTCCATCGCGTCGGTAGCGTTTCCATGGTAACCACCAATCATGAGGCGATAATTATCGGTTTCGTTTTCGACGTAGAACAGGTCATATTCGGCGAATGTATAGTGACCATACGTATCCCACATGTCCAATCGCAAAGTATAATTGTCCGAAGTGGTGATCTGGTGTATGAGTTCATTTCCCAACCAATATTCCCCTGCAGGATCACCAAACCCTTGTTTGTAGTCTTCCCAGGGTCGATAAAAGTCCTGTGACCCATCTTTCCTCCGTTGGATTACAGTCCAGCGACCACCAGCAGTATCCATATCGCAATATATGGGGAAGGCGGATTCTGTTCCCTGGGGGTGGATCAAATAAACGCCACTCTTGTACTGTACTGGAGGCGTGGTGTCTTGGTCCATAGAACAATCTGATATAACAAATAACATGTTAGTAAAGGGACAATAATATGTAACAAACAACAGAATATCATTCCCTAAATATTTATATGCAACAGATACTACAAGCAATTTTCATAAAATTCCTATTTTAAAAAAAACATTTAGATACTCTTCTTTTTGTAAATAAATAACGACGAAAATTGGCACACCGAGAGGATAGAGGGCGTAGTTAGTTGAACGAACTTTATATAGTGACAAAGTTAAAAAAAACAGACAGTAACATAGTGATTCGTGGAAACGGGCTATTAATAATAATTCATGCCACACGTGAGCGTGTAAGGAAACTATCTGTGTATTATACGAACAGTTCAATTTCAATCATTGAACGTAATTAACATACCATGTGGTAACAAGTCCACAAACTTGGAAATCTCGGTCTTTAGATCAGAGTAGAAAGACTTCAGCTGTGGTAGGTTTGTGGAGATGTTCCGGATTTCTTGTTTCATTTCTTCTTGCCTTTTTACCCACGATGAGAGGAAAGGTTTGTCAATTTTTGTCTTAACATGAGTGTCCAGCTCAGCCATTTTGAAGTGATTGTTGGTAACCTGTGTCTGAAGTTTTCCTAACTTGTGTTCAAGGTTCTCCAGTTTAACATCTTGTAAAAGTTCTTTATTGTTGGCTTTACATTCTTGTAAAGACTGGTTGAGAACCTCGTTTTGAACAGATAGAAGTCTGTAATGATCCCTTTGAACCTCCATTTTTAAGACTGAATAATCTTTTCTCAGAGTCTTAAGGACCCCATAGTGGTCATTCTGGTCTTCGCGGAGGATTTCGAAAGATGATTGCATTTGACCAAGATTGAAATCAGACTTCGAAACTTCTCTTTGCAGATCTTGGATGCTCTTATCGAATCGGTCTTCCAAGACCTCCAGAGCTTCAAAAAGCTTAAGAGTGGAAGAATGAAGTTTGTCGACAACGGTTATTATCTCTGTGACGTTTCTAAGTTCTTCTTTTGTATCCCAAATTTCCTGCTCAACAGCCTTACTCCTAGTTTCAGATTCTTTTATCTGTTTAGTCAGATCTAACTGCTGCCTGTTCAAGGTAGTTGTTTGGTTTCCCATGAAATCAGTTCTACGTGACACAGCATTCAAGGTCGAGTTTATGGACACATAATTTTGCTTTAACCAACGAACTTCACGTTCAAGTTTGGCTTCCATTGCTTCCATGGCTTGTTGCATCATGGTAACTTCCATCTTCAGGTGTTTGTGGTGACGAAGATGGTGGTTGTTTTCTAATAAAAAAAAATAAAAAATATTTAGTTAAATATCTTGTCATAGAAAAAGTGCTTCCTAGCATAGCATTACTGATACAAGTTATTATAGGTATCATTGAACTGATAATTCGTTCCATGCTATAGTTTTATTTATGTACATTTTACGTTGGTCTTTGCAATACTTTGTTGGATTGTTATTTTGGATCAAGTTAGTAGCTATATTGAGGGTTGAATATAGTAATATATTATACAACTGATTATGTTATTCTTGTTTTACTGAAAAGTTACACAATGGGCTAACGACAACCCACTGACGATCTGACACTTCAAGATTCTTCTTAGAGCACAGGATGAGAGAAGTCTACTTATCTCACTTATAACAAGACCTACGCACGGTAATCCCATCGATAATAAGACCTACTTACGGTAGTTACACTGTTAACAATCACTGCATACAAACTACCCACAGAATGCTCCGAATACTCGATGTTAAGAGTGCAAAACTTTACGAAAAAACAACAACAACAAACAAAAAACACCATAAGTCAGTTATCGTTCTTGTTACATTTCTAACGAGCCTGGTAAGTTAAGAAACAAAAAAACACCATAAGTCAGTTATCGTTCACTTACCAGGCTCGTTAGAAATGTTTAAGAATTCTTTTTCATCTCCCGAACCATTATCGTCCAATAAACTTTCCATGGTCAATCTTTTTACGTTGTTGTCATTTTTCTGGTTTTCCTGAAAAAGAGAAAAGTTTAAGATCATTAACATAAACTATAAAGTCTGTAATTACATACTATACAAGTTACAGGGAATTTTAAAAATCACCAGTATCCGAGGGAGTCTAAGAGAAACTTTGCTAAGTTTTATATTTATATTTATATATATATATAGAGAGAGAGAGAGAGAAGAAAAAAATATATATCTGTGTTTTCAATGCTTTATGGTTTAATTCGTTTGTTTAAGAGCTAAGCCACTTTGAGTCATCTGCTGTGTCCATCGTCATTCGTGGGGATTGAACCCCGTAGTCGTACCGCTATCCCCAGATAAGTTACATACTTATAGTTACTATAAAATTCATTCAAGAAAAATCGGGAAAGATTCCGTTTGTTCTTAGACTGTAAATATTTTAAAGTAGGATTTTAGTTACGCAACTATTTTTTACAATATTTGAATTATCAACCTTTTAATTATTATAATTCAACTGGCAAAAAAATTAAAGTTGTTTCGTTTTCAATTCTTCTCGAGGGTTATTGTTTTGCGTTTTTTTAGAATTTTCACACAAAGCTACAAACCGTCCGTAATTTAGAGCCGATAGTGTGTGTGTGGGT